AGTCCTGAGAGGTCGACTCAGGGCTGTCCCCTGAAACTCGAGCCCTCCCAGAGAAGAGCCACTTCTCTGCCCGGGGTGGGGCCAGCTGGGCGAGGCATGAAGCTGCCCGTAAAGACTGCACGCTGCAGAGGTGCACAGCTTTTCTTTCATTGCCCTCCTCCCTGTCCCCAAAAGGGAATTGAGACGCGGGGCTCTGAGAGTTGATTTCCTTTTTAACGAGCTCCCCAGTGTCATGGCCCCTGCCCTATAAACTTCAGGCTCTGATGGCCAAAAAAAGTAGGAAGTGGGAGGAGCAGGAGTCCTAAACTAGTCAAGGCCTAGATCTGTATCTAGGAGAGGGGTGGGGGCGATATTAAGCAGAGCTGGCCTCAGGAAATCACGAAGGCGAACATCTGAAATAATGTCCCCCATCCTTGCCAAATACAGTACAAATTAGGGATAACTGTTCACATTACAATCACAACGGAAAATTTTAAACAGTTTTCTGAGTACATTCAAGACATAATTGAGTTTCTAAAAAATTGATTCAGCTGTAACAGCTCGGGGAATACAGCCCGTTGCAGGTCTGAGTTCTAATTGCAACTCATCCACCAACGAGCCATGGATCCTCAGATAAGTCTTTTCACCTCTCTGAGCCTCCCTCTCCCCATCTGAGAGCTCTGAAGATGCTGTGTGAGGCAGGATGTGACTTCGACTCAGAAAACTGGGCTTCTAGTCCTGACTCTACCACTAAGAAGCGGTGTGACCTTGGCCATCGCATAACCTTTTGGGGATGTAAAATAAACAAAGTGAATGTATTGGGCTCTGAAGTCCCTTCAGATGTCACTGGATTTACTTCCTCCCCAGGATATCATTAGCCATGCTAAATTACCCCCATGACCACAGGTCAAATTCAACAGCTGCGGCTATGAGACAAGATGAAGCGAGTTAAGAGAGTGTAAAGGTACAAATGCAATGCACAGCTAAAATCTGAGTCACGGACAAATAAACTGTAACAGCCCCACTCCCTGAGAACAGACATTTTCCTATGTTATACTCAGACCACGAAGAGCAAAGTCCAAGGCCATCTATAATAATCGGCCATCGATGTTTTGAAAATCCACAACTCTGCGGTTTGCTGCATCATCTTCAATCAAAATCAACTTAGGAAGTCGATTTTAAAAGAAGCTGAGTGATATTTCCATTTTGGAAGGGGAAGAAAAATTGACTACTTCTATTTGCAGCTCTGTAATGAACCTTCTGGCAGAACATCAAATGTGGCATCCTGCTCAACAGGAGGGTGTCAACAGCAGTAGAGTGGAGCCCCATGCAGGTCCCATTCAGCTCTAATCACAGTTGCTCCACAGAGCATGAGAGCAGACCCCAACAGCGTTTGACAAGAAGCGCTTTCCTGCCTGGCGAGAACTGCAAAGGCACAAATCTTTCCTCTTGGGAGGCAACATGGCTTGGAGGAGAAGAAAAGTTTTGGATTCAGGTGACCTCACTTTTGCTTAATAGTTGTATGACTTTGGCCAAGTTACTCTTCCTCTCAGAGCCTTGATTTTCTCATGAGTAAAATGGGAATAACAATTCCCAATACTATAGGGTTGTTTTTATGGATTAAATGAGATAACGTACTTAAAATACCATGCACACAGTGGATAATCAAGAAATACTGGAGCACAGAGGGTACTGGGATGGCTCTGCAGATGAAGAAAGGGTCTGGGAGAAGTTCATCTTGAGTTGAATCAGTCAAGACTGACCCCAGAGTGCAGATACATCTGTCACAGAGGTATTTACTATCAGGTGGGCTAAGGAGTATCTGTGGTACCCTGCAACACCTCTCCCATTGAGGGGAGAAGTCGTAGAGAAGCTGACAGTGGTCATGGACTCTCTCTCTAGAAGAAAATTCTGAGAATCCGAAGTTTCCAAATAAGCACAGAGCATTCCCAAACACTTGTGGATACCAAGCAAGAACCCCTGACCTACACCCTCTCTCAGAATTTGGAAATGGGGACATCTGCAGAGGCAACTAGTGGCATGAGCCACAACTGCCAGTACCAGAGGCATCCACACAATGATGGGAACAAAGCAGGCAAGGGGGACTAAATGTGATGACCCTAAAGTGGTGCCTCCATTACACCAGATCCTTGGAGCACACTGAACAAAGCAGAAACGGGTTGGATTACTGCTGGGACATCTTCCTAGGTCAAAGTCAGCTAATGGTACCCACACCCCCGAGGGCACTATTAGAGGGGCTAGGTTGAAACCAAGTCCTTCTACAGAATGTTGTAGAAAGCTTGGGATGTCAGCTTCATATTGCGGCGCCCAATCTAGTCTTTGCAAGTGGTAGGACAGGGATGAAAGGAGCCCTTAAGAAGTATCTTAAACCCATTTACTGTAATTTTTATATTAAAAAATGAACTACATAGGTCTTTTCCTCCTCTCATTCCTGCATCTACCTACTACATGCATTTCAGTAGATAAAATTTGAGTATACTTAATAAAAATTTTTCATGCTTCTTTTAAAGAATATATATTTTTTCTATATACCCCAGCCTCAAATGAGAATTTCTGTTTTAGACACTGAATATTTATCACAGAGCTCAGAGGCCTTTGGGGGGGAAAAAACCCCAAGTATTTTGGGTAAGTACAGAAACATAAATTGAAACTCCAGGAATATCCCTACTTAGATTATAAACGATATAGAAAAATGAGACCCATAGAGTCATCTAGTTTCCTTGCCCTTCATCCTTAATCAGAGCCTTTTAGGCTAGCTAGAAAAAAAAAATTATTTCCACTCAGTTTCCCCACAAGCTATTTATCCAGAGGGCAATTTAGGAGAACCTGAACCAAAAGAGTCTATGGCATGGCCCTCTGCTCAGAGGGGGACTGGCAGACTCCCATTCCACCAAATTTCTAGTTCTGAGCTGAAAACTACAAAAGCTGGCATGCTCATCATGAAGTCTCTCAACAGATCAGGGAGCATAGCGCACCATGGAGAGTTTCAGCTGACTAGGAAGGAAGTCATTGCAGTCAGGCCCCAAGGAAGTAGGGTGATTCTTTCCAGGAAGGCAATACTCACTCCTCTGTGCTAGAAAATGACCAACATTCTCGTGGTGTTTGGACACGCCCATACTGCACCATAGCCTGAGCATCATAGTATATTCACCCTGGGAGGAGAATGGAGGATGCAAACGACCGTACTGCTCATTTTCAGAGTCTGCCTACTCAGAGCCTGGGGGTGGACTCCAGCCCCTTAAAGTCCCTTCTAGTTCTATTGCCAGTTATCTGAAAAGAAGTCTAAACCTCAGTTGTGTGCCAAAGACAAGTGTTGGATGTCTGCGACCTGTGAACAAAAGCTATGCAGATTTACAAGTCATGGTCTCCACATTCAACCTCGATAAATGTCTTATGTGGGGTGAAGGAGTAAGAAAAGATTACAAAAGGATGATTCCCTGTTTTCAAAATGTATTTGACTTGGTCTTTCTTTCAAGACCAGATCTGAGTTTTTTAGAACGATTTTAGTGATATTTGGTGGTAGTGAGCATTCACAAACCCTTGTTTGTATGTCTCTGTGTGTGTGTGACTCTGGTTGGTCCCTTTTGACATTTGACACTGCCTGCTCCGAGCCTGCCGTCTGCCATCTCCAGTAAAGCTCTGTAAGCAGAGGGTGACGAGACAAGACAGGAGAGACAGGAGGCCAAGGAGAGGAAGAATGCTTTTTCCAACATTAGCCTCTCAACCCTGCATGAAGTGTAGACCTCAGAGCACTCTAAAGCCCCATTTTAGAAACACTGAAAATTATGTTGCTGTTGTCCTTTTGGTTAATACTTATTTAAAAATTTTCAAGCGTCAGAATCATGAAAGCAAAGGTCAAAGCTAAGGAAAAGAGCCTTGACTTTTTTTAAAGGGAAGATGATTATATCTAGGCTTCCCTTTTTAAATCCCCAAAGCTGGGTGCATCTCCTAAAAGCCCTTCTCCAGCATGGTAGGAGAGATGGGTGTTCGAGCCCAAAGCAAGACCAGGGCTGGCTCCCTTCCCCTTCTGCTGGGGAATTCCCACTGCAACCCTGGGGCCCGAAGCTGCCCCCAGTCCTTGAGGCCAGCATCTGAGTGTCTGGTCACACCCACACCTCCTGCTGTCTCCTTGGCCCTGCCTAGGGACCCATGTGAAAGGACAACCTCAACACTTCAGTACTGAATCCCTCTCACACTCAAATCCACTCTGCTGGAAATAGTGTTATAACGGGGCTCCTTGCAGGTTTTTAATTGTTGACAGATTCAAAGGGGTATTTTATTCTCTGCCTCAACAGCACATACTGTTTCAATGCAGTATGTGCTCTTGCTCTCTCCTTTTTGCTTAAGGGAACCCGTTTCTCTGCTTGCTGTTCCTGGCACTTCCTCACCCCACCTCAGGCCAGGTGAAGGGCAATGAACCAATTAGGAAGACACTCCCTCCTGCTTCCTATGAGGAAGACCAATCAATCAAGAAAGCTGTACACTCTGCTACTGAGTACTCGTTCCTTCAAACACTTTAAGTGGCTTCCTGGAATTTGAACTTGCACATTAGCCCACTGCACCCCCACCCCTCCCCGGACTAACTGGCTTGTGTGGACATGTGAAGATGCGCCTTCTCCTGCCAGTAGTGGGTGTCAGGGAAGCCGGCACCAACTAGCTTGCCATTGGATACAGTGCCTTGACCTTGCAGGAGCATTTGGCTTGCAAAGGAGGCCAAGATGTGGGGAGTGGGATGAGGTGCAGAGGAAAGCAACCCCGACTGGCTTCTCATAGGAAAGGGCAGCAGAGGCACCTACACCTTCTCCCTCTCACGCAAATGCCCAGCAGGAATGACCTCAGGAATGGCAGGCCCTCTGAATACCCCCAGGCTATTAGCTCAGCCCCCCAACAGTCTTGTTTGGGGGCCCTCACCTGGGCTGGGGTTCGCCTTCCCAGATACCATTTCCTCATACTGCCCCTCCACTTCCCCACCCCCACACTCCTCTAGGCCACCTCTGTTCCATGCATTTCCCCCTCTCTGCGCCCCACACAGAAGGCCTAAGTCCCCCTAGGTCCCCGGTCCATGCTAACAGTACAGGGACATCCTGCTCCGCCGCATGGCCTCGCTGATCAGGTAGGCGGGGCTCAGCTCCGGCTCCTCCGTCATGATGGCAATGTTCTGCCACTCGCCCGTCTGGCTGGACCTCTTGATGGTGTCCACCACGCACAGGGCGTACAGGCAGTCGTCAAAGGTGGCGGCCATGGTGAGCGGCCGTCCATCCCACGTGCGCCGGTCATCCTGGTCCTGGAAGGCCTGGCGCACGGCCTGCATCATCTTGATGGTGCCGCGCAGGTACGGCGAGGGGATGTCGCTGAAGGCCTTCTCGGGCAGCAGGGAGTTGCTGATGGGCGTGGCATCCTGCAGCAGCAGCTCCTGCTCCGGGGCGCTGTTGCGCTGCCCGTACAGGTCCGTGCCGACCGCCAGCAGGCGCCCAGCCGAGCCCACCACGGTCACGTCCTGCTTGAACTCACCGGGCACGTTGAAGTTGAGGGTGACCGTGCAGCACACCCCGCCCTCCAGCACCATCTGGAAGGTGCAGAAGTCGTCGCTGGTGATCTGGCGGATGCCCTTGATGTGGTCAGTCTGCTTCACGAAGGTCTTGAGCAGCCCGTGGACCTTGACGGCCTTCTGGCCGGTGAGGAAGGTGAGCAGGTCGATGATGTACGTGCCCACCGAGTGCAGGCCGCCGCCGCCCATCAGGTCGTCACAGCTCCAGTTGTACTTCTTGCCCAGCAGGCTGCCGCTGTGCACCTGCACCTCGCACACCAGCAGCTCGCCCACGTAGCCCTCCTCGATGAGCTGCTTCATGCGCACGAAGGCCGGCAGGAAGCGCAGCACGTTGCCCATGATGCTCATGAGCTTCGGGTAGTAGTGGGCGGCAGACATCATGCGGAAGGCGTCCAGCGGCGTGGCCGTGCGGTCGCAGATGACGTTCTTGCCGATGCCTGCGGGCGGGAGGAAACAGAGCAGGTCAGGGCGCTGGCGTGGAGGGAGCGATAGGGGGCACTGTCGCGCCCAGGCGTTAATTCTCAGAACAGGAACCAGACCTATAACATATCCTTGTTGCAATCTAAAATATTTTACAATACTTTTTATTTATACAGAAATAATATATTCCATATAGTTCAGCATTATTTTAAATATTTAAGTCAAATTACTTAATTTTAACATTAAACCATAGGTATTGATTTAAATATTAAGATTTATTTTAATATATTGACATAGCCTATATTTTAGAAATATTTTAAAATAGTTGCCAATATAAAATGCTTCATTTAATATTTTATTTACGTTAATCTATAACATTTTATATACAAATATATTTTACTTGTAAAATATTAATATTTAAAATATTTAAATATTTATATTTTATATTATTATATATTACACCTTACATTTTATATAAGATAGTTCTGTTAAAGTATACAATATAATCTTTTTACATATAAAATATATTATTTTATATTAAATTATTAAAATTATCTTACATATGGAATGTTTTATGTTTTATATGTCAAATTAATTTTTATTAAAAATATCATATGTGGAGAAGAGAATAGTGTCTCTATCTGGATAGAACCAGAATACATAAGCTTAAGTCATGGCCGAAGCAAGTGTGATTAAGTATGAGGAAGAATTTCTCACTGATATCCTTCAAAGGCCTAAGCTGTTAGCTGTCTCCCCTACAACCACCAACAAAGGATTATATTTCGAGTGTTATCTTGCTTGTTTATTTTGTACTATGGATTAGGGCTGGCAGTGGTCACATACGTGTTTGTTTAACGTTTTCCTGCTCCTTATGGGAAGGGCAGATATTCCCTGTATCTGAGGGGTGGGCAGTGGCTGGTTCCTGCCCCACCCCCATCTGTCTCATCACAGGGTTTGGTGCTTTCGGTCAGTGGAGCCAAGGCCAAATAAGAATGAGGCTTATGTGATGACTGTAATGGGTGCATAAATTACAGGTAGATGGAAGCCCTGTAGGAGACTAAGTGGTTCTGGTCTTGAGAAAACAAAGGATCAAAGAAAAGGAGAGTGAGAGGGAATGAGAAAGGAATTTATTCCGTAGAAGCCAAGAGTCCGGGAAGAAAAACAACTCAGCTGAACTTGGAGAAACAGCCAACTGGAACTCAAAAAAATAAAGAAAGAAAAAAAAAAATAGAATTATGCGGATTTTGTTAGCAAGCCAGAGTAAAGGATGCTAGGTGAATAGACGTGGGAAGCTTCTGAGTCAAGGCACGTGGCTGCCTGTGGCAGGTCTCATAGACTCTCTAATGCAGACTGGACACTCCAGCCACAGATGAGGGAGATACCACCGGGAAATCGGGTGATGAGACACACATACCCATCCCAGTTGTCCTGACTACCGGCACCTGACTTGACAAAATCTATGAACTTTTGAAACAAGGTACGCTAAGATAGGGTTCTGTGGAAGTCCTGTACCTGTAGGTGTCCGTCCAGTGGAAACGCCTGGACAAGGCCACAGCCTGGCACATAGCTCTCTCATTTTCCCATTGGAAGAACTAGTCCAACAATAGATGTGGTCAGAACAGATTGTAGAAAATACCTACAATCAATGGTTGTCAATTTCCATGAGCACATTTAATTCTGGCTCTGAGTGAAAGGCCTGGAGCCTACACAGGGACCATATATCCTGGCCTTTTCCATATTGGCAGAGCTGGCAGGCTTTCCTGATGACCATGATTGAATCAGTAAGAAGCTCCTTTAACTCCTAGCAACCAGGTGAGGACTGAGATGCCAGCAGAGGGATGAGGAAACATTGGTTTGTATTACCAAAGGTGCCATGCACCTGCCTAACATAATGTTCTGATAATATGATCCTGCTGGCATTAGGCTCATGTAACAGCAGCTCATGTTGGCAGGAACAGATTTACACATAAACGGAATGGTAGGTCACTGCAGGGACAGGTGACAAATGCTGCCAAATCTGCCTCACACCTGTTGGGTATAGGCTGTGGCCTCTCCCATACCCTACCTCAAGGTCCCCCACACCAGAAGCCCTGACTGCCATTTTATTTTTTCTATTATAAAAACTATAAGATAAAATAGTAAAAGAAAAAAATAAATTGAGAAAAATAATTCACTCCTCCTCCACATACCCAAGACAATTACTGAATGGGTGATGCTTTGAAGTTCTGTAGATGAAAAGATTCTGATGAAAGCTATAGACTCTCTCTCCAGAAAATGCAATAGGGATATACACACACAACTCTATTGCATCCTGAAACTCATGCATGACTCCCCCATGGTTCTGAGATACAGGCACCTCTTCCTTTAGGCTATTTATGTATGTTGTGATTCCACACTATACAAGTTCCTCAAGGATAAAGGCTGGATCTTCTAATATCTTAAGTATCTCCTTAATGCACACAGCATCTAGAGGCATGTTGTGTGTGTGGCAGGAACCCAGTGAGCATTGTTGCCTGGCCCCAGCTCTCTGCCCACAGTCCTTTTCAATGTCTGCACTTTATAGATGGGTCTCAGTAACATCTTAACACACAATATCTTCAAAAGTCAAAAGAGACTTCTAGGAATCTATCATAAAGAAATCATCTGAAGTGTAAGCACAGCCGCTTGCCCAAAGATGGTTCTCACTGCATTATTTATTAAAGTGAAAAACTGGGAACAATGCAACTGCCCAACAATAGCAGAACGGGTAAGCAAGCTGTAGTACAGCCATATAATGGAATATTGTGCCGCCATGGAAAATGATGTTTATAAAGACTTTCTAATGGCAAGCAAGATGATTATGATGTAATGTGAAGTGAAAAGGGCTCTACTCATAGACATACTATGATCTCAACTCTCTCTTAAAAAAAAAAAAGAAAGAAAAAACCTAGAAGGGGACACCTCAAAATATTTACAGTGGTTAATTGATTAGTAGGATTTGACTGATTTTTATTTTCTTCACTACATTTTTCCGTATTTTCTAAGTTCCTACTTTTATAATCAGAGAAAACATTAGTTTTTCTTTCTTTTTTTTTTTTCTGAGGAAGATTAGCTCTGAGTTAACATCTGTTGCCAATCCTCCTCTTTTTTGCCAAGGAAGATTGGCTCTGGGCTAACATCTGTGCCCATCTTCCTCTACTTTATATGAGACGCCGACACAGCATGGTTTGATAAGTGGTGCATAGGTCCACACCCGGGATCCGAACCCGTGAACCCCGGGCCATTGAAGCGGAGCATGGGAACTTAACTGCTATGCCACCGAGCCGGCCCATAGTTTTTCTTTTTTAAGCACAAAGGAGACATGAAGACCTTTGAAGGACAGTGCTCACGTGATGGTAGGAGGGCCTCCAAAGTCTAGGGCAGGCAGGCAGATCCCAGAGCTAATGGACCGGTGCCAGTTCCTGTGCCCCAGTGAACTGCTGAAAGCTCCACTGACCCTGAACTTGGAATGCTTCAGAGGCTCAGGCTACATCGCGAGGTCTTCTTGCTCTAATTCCTCAAGACCTCTTTATGATTCTGGTGAAAGCTATGGACTCTTTCCAGAAGATGCAATTCACACACATACACACAAAACCTTACCCACATCCCAAGCCCATGCATGGTCCCCTCAGGTTCTGAGGAACAGGCATCTCCATTGTAAACTGTAAGATAACTCTTGAAGCCCTTACGACATATTATTAAATACAAAAGAATGCTTCCAGTTTTAAAAGGAACCCCAAATGCAGAGCTAGCAGCCCTTCACAGATTTGTAAAGCAAAGTTTGTTTTCTCTCTATTCGGGACAGTCTTTCTTCAACTCTACCTCTTAGTGGGGCTTCTGCAAAGCCTACTCTGGGATCCCCCCGAGATCCTCAGGTCCCCTTCTCAGCTTTTCCCCACAAAAATCTGTACTACCAAAATGCCCAGAACCTGAAATGTCAAGGTTCTTAGCAGTTTAACAAGAATCAAGGGCTTAGGCTAAAGGAATACGATTCTGACTGTAAATTTCTTCAGACCCTGTGTGTGTGTGTGTGTGTGTGTATGTGTAGGTGCGTGTGTAGAGGGATTAGTCTGGCACAGAGCATTCCATCACCTCTAAAATCACATTCAATGTAAAGGGAGCTGCATTGTCTGGGCATACAGTTGACACAGCCCACAATCCTGGGTGTGTCACATGCCATTGAATATATGCTGGGATTTCTCCCGGAGAAAGCAGACAGATGCCTGCTTTCCAAATCACCCGTCAGCCTGGGCTTTGGGTCTGGCTCTCCACGAATACGACAGGTCTTTGGTGTCTTGACGATTTTCATGTGTCTTAGCACAATGCTTTGCTTGCCACCTCCAGAGAAAGTACTAGAATGAGCTCTTCAGAAAAAAGCCCTCTCTCTCTATTTTGTGCTGGAGAAAAAATAATAAGTAGAGGTACCCCTCCCTAAGCATGTGGCTCTGACATTCCTTTGATATGAAAGTAAACAGATTCCACCAGGGAAAGAAACTGAAGAGTTCAGGGAGAGGCAGAGGCCCCTTACCAGCTTGCCCCCAACACAGCCATGACTGATTCCTAAGGAGAACCCTGAGGCAAAAATACAACCCTGGTCTCTGCTCTGCGGAGACAGTCTGTGCTTTGTCACTCCCTAAGAGGGAGGTCTGTGCTTTCTCACTCCTGGATGGACAACTTTACCAAAAGGATGGGAGGGCCATCTCTGCCGCCTGCATCCACACATCTGTCAGAGCACTATGCAAAACACACTTCCTTTAGGTTTAGGGTTCATATTCTCTAGTGGCAAGATGTCCTCCTTCTAAGGCAAAAGATCCCAACTTTAGGACCTCAAACAATCTTAGAGAAAATCATGCTGCCGAGAATCAAGCCAACAGACTTGAAACATGTGGACTTGATTTTGCTCCAAATAAACAGGCAGTGCAAAATGGAAAGTGGGGAAAAATACTAAGTCTGAGAAAAAGTGTTTTGTGTTCTGCTAAGCTCCAAACATTTCCTGAGC